TTTTTGAGATGGAGTCTCACTCTATCGCCCAGGCTGGAGTGCAGTGGCGCCATCTCAGTTCACTGCAAGTTCTGCCTCCTGGGTTCATGCCATTCTTCTGCCTCAGCCTCCTGAGTAGCTGGGACTACAGGTGCCTGCCACCGCACCTGGCTAATTTTTTGTGTTTTTAGTAGAGATGGGGTTTCACAGTGTTAGCCAGGATGGTCTCGATCTCCTGATCTCGTGATCCACCTGCCTCAGCCTCCCAAAATGCTGGGATTATAGGCGTGAGCCACCACGCCCGGCCTGAATCTCTTTATTTTGAACATCACAGCACTATTTGGGTAAGTTATGCTAACCTGAAATTACCTCAATCAATGGGAGTTTTTAGATGCTTATGAAGGTTATCTGGCAGAATTGGTTGACTTTTTTTTTTAAAAAAAGAGCAAAGCTACACGGAATTAGTAATTATGGTTGGGGTATGATCACCAAATTGAAGTGTTAAATGTGATTGTAAAAATCACCATAAAAGTAGCATAGTAAGTGGCGGTATCATCTTGTGCCTCAAGATGAATTTCCAGTGTGAAAGCGTCATGAAAGTGTCAAAGAATGATGCATCAAAGCCAATCTGATGGGAGTAAAAATAATGTGCCTCGGAAAACTGTGTCAGATAATTCAGAAAGTGGCTTAAGTGAAGACAAAGACCTGATGACATGGCTGCATATGAATAATTTAAATAAATTTTTTCATAAAATTTGAGAGTCAAGAATAAGCAATACATCTCAATTTTATATAATATGTGATTTTTATGTGTATTACATAATTTGTAATACATATTTTAAAATATAAAATACACTGTAACCCAAATTAAAAATTTAATGTTCAAAACATGTATTTATCTGTTTCATTAAGGTTGGCCTAAATACGTTTATTTGGACATTTTTCATTGTAAAATTGGACAGCGATCATCACATATTCAAAGCCATCTTGTATTTGGTTACATGCATTATTTACGGACACCCACCTCCTCCAATGTGGGCTTTAGCTCCTGGTTTTTGGGTTCTAAGTAGAGCATGCCCTGTGCCTGCTTGTGACCTCTTGTCCTTCTGGTCAAGAAAACTATGGTATCTGTATCAGACTGAAATGTACATATGGTTATTTATTTGTGAGTTTTAAGGCTTTTGACTTATTAGGAAGTGACCTAGTTTTCATGCCTCAGCTTCTTATTGCAATTTTCTTAAAAGGATGCAGTACCTTCCCATACACACGTGAAAACAACATTATATAGCAGAGTAGTGGCCTTGGCAGACACAGACAGGAGTTTCTATCTTCTCTGGATAAGGCTGACTATGAACAATGAAAGAAATGATGAGAACGTGAACAACTAATCAGATATTTGCTAACTCATTCATTAAAACTGTATAAGAGGTTTTCATCTTTGTAAAGTCCTGTCCTAGCAAAGGCTAAAGCACTATCAACTGCAATTAGTAAACTCTTTAAGCTTCCAATTCAATCTAACCAACAAAAATGTTGCCTGAAACTTACTGGAAAATATTGCTTCTCCTGGGGGCTAGATTCACTGTGCTGATGTGGATTAAAATGACTAATCCTAGAATAATTCTATACTGCACACAAAATCAATTTCACAAACATGCATTTGATAGTCCGTTTGAAAATCTGTTAATATTTTCAAGTGGAAAAATTACTGAACATTTTTACTCTATTAATCCTTCAAAACAAAATTTGAAAAAAAATCTTCTCTATAAACATATTTTTCTTCAGTTTTTTAGAACTAGTATACTAGACACAGCCCACCCATAAGAAGGAGCTAAGAAAAATATATACGTGAATTCTGTTTCTCGCAGAAAGCTGTTGCTTTAGAAGCAATTAGGCCAATTGAGCCTGACAGCATGATTTCAGGAGGAATGCTGTGCAAGCTCCTATCTGTAATGAAAATTTGCACCGAAACAAGGAAGGGATAATACATGCAAAGAGATAACAATTCTGGAGTGCTCTCTATAAATCCGTTGCCCTTGGAAGGAATACAGTGGAGTAAGATGATAATGATGATTTTGGATTTCTGTTTAGTCCTTTTCAAAGGGAGGAAGGCACATAAACTAGCAGGTTTCACCACCCATCAATGTGAGGATTCGGTAAATGGAGAAAGCCTGTGACTGACGCATGGAAGGAGGAGAAAACCAGCCAAAATTTTCTTTGTAAGTTATGATTCCAAAGGAAGATTCCTCATCCCATAAAGTATACAACTCTGAATAGAACAAAGCTGAAGGGAAAATAGGTAATGAGGAGATTGGGATTTTATTTTGAAATTAACCAAATGTGGCTTAACAGATATTGTGAATTAAGCTTATTTCATGCCCAAGTCAGAAACAGCAACAGATATTACAGAAAAATCTCTATACAATATTATGGTGAAGATACATTAACATGGTGATTGGCAGTATTTGATTTAATTTGGACAAACAATACTGGGTTTAAACTGAAAGATGAGTTTTTAAAAATTCTCACAGTTTTAAATATATTTGCTTTAAAAACTTAATAAACTCACCGGTGATCATTTTTTAGCACTACAATTTGTGTCTAACTCTACATGAGCAAAGAAGAAGTATATGACTGAATTCTGTACTTTTCATTATTGTGTTTTTCCTATTGTTTCACAAGTTAGAAGGAGATGGACTGCTTATCTAAGACAATATCCCTTGGTTGAAGATCACTAAAAATAATGCCATGCCTGGTTGGATATGACTTATCGATCTCCAGTGGCACAAGTGAAGAATAATATCTTGGTTGCTCAGAAAAATTGGCTATCTTTCAAAGATAGAGAAACCTGACTCATGATCATTCTTTTAAACAATCTTGATCATTAGCCAGCTCAGTTATAATAACTGGTGGGCAAGCATTAGACACACAAGACTCTCATAGCCAAGACACATGAGAAGTATATTGTTAGCTTTTCGGCAAATATATAAGATTGGTTAATTCTGGAGAAAAAAGAAAATGTGTACTACATTGTCGCTTTAGGACAGAAGGTCCCAAACGAAGCTGTTTCAGAATTACCTGGGAAACTTATTAAAAACAACGCTGCCTGGGTCCCACCCCAAATCTTAGATCAATCTTCCGCATTTTCAAAAAGCTCCCTTTCCTACATCCTGGTGATTCTATGTCCACAAGATGTTTTTTTTTTTTTTTTCTTTCTTTTTTTTTTTTCTTCTTCTTCTCTGAAACAGAGTCTCAGTCTGTCACCCAGGCTTGAGTGCAGTGGTACAATCTCAGCTCACTGCAACCTCTGCCTCCCGGGTTCAAGCGATTCTCCTGCCTCAGCCTCCTGAGTAGCTGGGACTACAGGCGCGTGCCACTATGCCCGGCTAATTTTTTGCATTTTTAGTAGAGACGAGGTTTCACCATGTTAGCCAGAGTGGTCTTGATCTCCTAACCTTGTGATCCGCCCACCTCAGCCTCCCAAAGTGTTGGGAATACAGATGTGAGCCACTGTGTGGCCCGTGTCCTCAAGGTTTCAGCACTGCTGCTCTCAAGGACAGTGGTGGGATGTCTTATGCTACAAATCATTAATATTCCTGATGTCCATTACTCACGTGTAAACCTTAAGAACAAAATCCTTTTCTTCCTTTACTTCTGTGAGTGACTGTAGGACATCCAAGATGCTTAGGACTGCACAGCCATATGGTCGCCTGTAGTGCAGGTGAGGAGGACCTTTCTTTGAGTCGTTCAGGAGCATCCGGCCTTGGGCACAGCAGAAAACACCAGTCAGATTGAGAAAAGCATGCTCCTCTCCAGTATTGCCTAATTGTCATGCAAGGATGCCTGAGCTACAGGCACCTAGGAAATCCTCTAAGTTGGAAGACTATAGGGCTGAAGGATATTTATGTGTAAGAACACCAAAGAGGCCTCTGGCCAAAGCTCTTCCCTGTACTACATTCAATCAATCATTCTTATCTAACTCTAAATCAATATCAACAGTTCATTTATTAATCACATGAGAATAAAAGTGATTTTATGAATTTCTTAGAAAAACCAATGTGCTAATAATAGATTTACACTTCTCAGGTACGTTATAGGTACAAAGTTTAGTATTTTAGCTGCCAGGTATAAGCTACATATGTACAGACAAGGAGGATACTGTGTTCTTTCAACCAAATTCCGCTGTTCAACATCATCCTGAACAATTGTGGGATTGAGAGTAGTCTTAAAAAGTGGATGAATATTTACTTTTCCAGCTTACCAAAGCTGTGCCTACAGCAGCAAAAAGAGTTGCAAATGCTGGAACCTTAACAAACACTTTAAGTACAGCAAAATAGCTGTTTTGCTGGCAAGAGATTAAAAAATATTCTTTGATAAAAATGTACATGATAGGCCAGAACTCAAACCTATGAAGGAGGACTTGGTTCGCCAGAGGCCCAAAAGTTATATCATAAACTTGAAATAAGTCTGAGCAAACCAACCACAGAACAGTAGTAAAAATCACTTTTTCATCTTGGGTGGCATAGAAGTGAAATACCATCCATCGTTGGGAGTGATGACAATAACTCTAATTTTGTGGAGAGAACCACAGATACATAATTTAAAACACAACCAATAGGTGCTGAATGGCATTTGCTGTGAAGTTGGTACCTCTGGAAAACTGCTATAAAATCTCTGAGGGAAAGGGTAGGTACAGAGGCAGGGCACTGTGTTAGAAATAATGTCTATAAGCAGACCATTTTAAATAAAAACTTTGGGTCTAAAAACAGATAGGGAGCAGAAGGTTTTAAGTGATTAAAAACCACAAACAAAACCCACTCCCCCAAATCCATTTATATCAAACCAAGCTACCACAGCAGTTGAGCTTAGGCATAGCTTCAATACAAGCTGGACTCTAATCCTGAGATCTGAAATTACAAGTAAGATCTAGGGAGAAAACAAAGCTCATGCACAAGACATACTTGTTCCAAGTTGGGCCAGTCTTAGTCATGTGAATGGGTAAGGTGAACAGTACCTATTCGGATCACATGGGCAACGATATACAAATCTCTCTTCATATCTTTGCTGCTCAGATCCTAAGAGAAAAAAATAAGTAAACTCAGGCAAGGAACACACAGAAAACAATTAAAAATTCATTTTGAATCTCTAGTCATTTGCTTTTACTGTATGTTATAGGTAGGGGAAGGGAAATTATAGCACATAGCACTTTAATAGTTTATAAGAGGCCTGGAGTAAAAGTCTGGATATCTTACAGGCCTTTGGAAGTTTACTTTATTGACAACATTTTTCTAGCTCTCATTTAAACCACTTAACAAATAAAAAGTCTATAAAAGTTCTCACATTAGAAATCTTCATGATATTGTATATTCCATGTTTACTCTAACATCATATAAAAACATTCCGTAACAGAAGGAATAAATGTTCAGCACAGAAAAAAATGGGAAACCACCAAAAAGCTCTTCAATAACTAAAATTCTGTAAGTTTGTTCTCCACTAATTTTACATTGATTCCTCTGTCCACAGATGATTATTACACACAAAGTATGTCCCACTTAAAAGAGATTACTTTATCAGTAAAACCTCAATAATTTGATTTCCATTTCTAAATTCTGATATTTATCATTTGTACTAAATTATAGTTGAAAATAATCTTAGTGAAAAATATTAAGGGTTTCCTTTAAGTAAACAGATACAATCCAGAATCAAAACTAATTTCCAAACCATAGAGTTATGAAAATCATTCCTTTCTCTTTCTTTCTTCCTTTTCATTAAAAAACAAGGTGTTGTACAAAGATACTTAGACTCCCACACAATAATAATGGGAGATTTTAACACCCCACTGTCAACATTAAACAGGTCAACGAGACAGAAAGTTAACAAGAATATCCAGGAATTGAACTCAGCTCTGCACCAAGGGGACCAAATAGACATCTACAAAACTCTCGACCCCAAATCAACAGAAAATACATTCTTCTCAGCACCACATCACACTTATACCAAAATTGACCACACAGTTGGAAGTAAAGCACTCCTCAGCAAATGTACAAGAACAGTAATTATAACAAACTGTCTCTCATAGCACAGTGCAATCAAACTAGAATTCAGGACTAAGAAACTCACTCAAAACCACTCAACTACATGGAAACTAAACAACCTGCTCCTGAATGACTACTGCATACATAACAAAATGAAGGCAGAAATAAAGATGTTCTTTGAAACCAACGAGGACAAAGACAAAACATACCAGAATCTCTGGGACACATTTAAAGCAGTGTATAGAGGGAAATTTATAGCACTAAATGCCCACAAGAGAAAGCAGGAAAGATCTAAAATTGACACCCTACCATCACAATTAAAAGAACTAGAGAAACAAGAGCAAACGCATACAAAAGCTAGCAGAAGGCAAGAAATAACTGAGATCAGAGCAGAACTGAGGGAGATAGAGACACAAAAAAACCCTTCAAAAAAATCAATGAATCCAGGAGCTGGTTTTCTGAAAAGATCAATGAAATTGATAGACCACTAGCAAGACTAATAAAGAAGAAAAGAGAGAACAATCAGATGCAATAAAAAATGATAAAGGGGGTATCACCACCGATCCCACAAACTACCATCAGAGAATACTATAAACACCTCTATGCAAATAAACTAGAAAATCTAGAAGAAATGGATAAATTCCTGGACACATATACCCTGCCAAGACTACACCAGGAAGAAGTTGAATCTCTGAATAGATCAGTAACAGGTTCTGAAATTGAGGCAATAATTAATAGCCTACCAATTAAAAAAAGTCCAAGACCAGACGGATTCACAGCCAAATTCTACCAGAGGTACAAGGAGGAGCTGGTACCATTCCTTCTGAAACTATTCCAATCAATAGAAAAAGAGGGAATCCTCCCTAACTCA